CAGAGGGCACTCCTTCTTTCTTCCTTGTCAAACCTGGAAAGGCACATGCCTGTGGTACCCCAGGGAGGATGGTGGAGAAAAGGTGGGTAGGTAGCCTCTTTGTCTGAGAAGGACCTCTTGTAATTGCACATCAGGTTTTTAAAAGGGGGAATTAATTTTAACTAAGGCACATGCAAACATTGGGTGCAGAGCACCCAAAAAGGAAGGAATGTGATTCATTCCCAAGTGCTTAGTAGGGGTCTGGGCCTATGAAAGGGGACTTTGAGGGGCACAGCAATCCTAGGACACGGCCAGGAGTCCCAGCTCACAGTGGAAAGGACTGACACTTGGTGAAGTGGCCACTGCTCGCTGGAGAACTGGAATTTGCACACGAGCATGTCTGACTCTGAGATTCCTCCAGGAACCCCAGAGTCAAAACCAGTGCCAATGCCTGCCTGTGTGAGCTGTGTGAGCTGCCGCTGGGGTCACAGGGGTGCGGTGACGAACATGGAGAGGAAAAGAAAGTTGTAAAGGAACCATGCTGCCTGAGCAGCAGACTGCCTTTCCAGCTACATCAGGAGTAAGTTCCCAGGATGCTTTGTGAAGAGTCTCTGATGTCTGAACCAGTTCCAGAGGGACACCATTACACCCAGCAGAGGAAGTCTTGGTACTACAAGCCAGGCTAGTGGCTCCTCACAAATCCCTTTCTGCACACCAGGGTGATGAAGCAATGGCTTTCCAGCCCCATCAGACATGAAAGAGGAAAGTGTTCCCTTCAGGAGCCCATGACTGTAGTCCGGGCGTGCACAGAGCTCATGCACTTGTAGATGGTGTGGCCTTAAAGAAACAGTAAGCTGCTCGGAGGGGCCGGGAGAAACTTGCTCTTGGCCACAGCCAGGCTTCAGTCCACTGGGAATTCTCCGCTCCTCCCATCTCAGGGCCCTGAAAATCACCTTCCGGCAGCTCCTACCTGGCAGCCCCAACACATCCGGGCTCCCTGGCTCTTGTCCTGTCAGGCTGTGAGTAAAGAAAGACAAAGGGAAACCCTGTGGGGTTCACAATCTCAAGATATAAAGACCCCAAATATGGTGGAGAGGAAGCAAGAGGATGCAATGGCTCGTGGCCATGGTACAATGCCCGCTCCAGATTCCTGCCCCAGACCCCTGTGTGAGCCAGTGTGAGTTCTCTCACTGAGAAGCACTATCAGGATATCCCACTCATGCTGCCGGTTGTCAGGATCTGATAAGGAAGAAAAAGGAAAGAAGAAAATAAGCGTTTATCAAGTTTTTAGAAAAAAACATATTTGATTTTCATTTAAATTTTCCAAATGATACTATTATTACCTGAATTTTCTAGTGAAGGAAACTTAAATACTACAGAGAAGTGAACTAGGAACCGAAAGCATGGATTCAGATCTTAATGTTCCAAGCAGAGAAAGAAAAGTCACAAGCCTATTCATTTAGCACCAAAGCTTCCTAAGCCAAAGTGAGCATTTTCAGAGAATGCATTATGTCAATATTTTGTTCTTTCTCCTCTTCAGTGAAGCTACATTTGGCAGGCAGAACGGTGCCCTCCCCAAGATGCCCGGCCTAGTCCCTGGAACCAGGCGTCTTCAAACTACGGCCCGCGGGCCACATGCGGCCCGCAGAGGAGTCTGATCCGGCCCGCCAGGTTTTTTGGGCAGTGAGCGCAGCCGAGGTGTTACAATAGGAATTAGTAGTTCATATAGCCCGGCCCTCCAGCTCTCTGAGGGACCGTGATCTGGCCCCCACTTTAAAAAGTTTGAGGACCCCTGCGGGTGAAGCGTAGGCTACATGGAGAAGGGGCGTTAAGGCTGCAGGTGAAGTGAAGGTTGCCAATCCCTGGCCAACTGGGGAAATCAGCTGGACTTACCCAGGTGGGCCCAGTGTTGCTGCCGGAGGCCTCAACAGTGGCAGGGACACAGAACAGAGATTCGGAGGTAGAGGAATGCCCACAGAAGCAGTCAGAAAGCTGCTGTGCTGCTGGCTTTGCCTATAGGGGAAGGGACCTTGAGATAAGGAATGTGGGAGCCTCTGGAAGCAGGAAACGGACAAGGAGATGGATTCCTCCCTAGAACCGCCATAAGGAACGCGGCCCAGCCAGCCCCTTCCTCATAGCTCAGCGAGAGCCATGTAGAACTCCCAACCTGCAGAACCACCGGTAAGAAATGTATAGGTTGTCACCACCAAGGCTGCGTTCATTTGTTCCAACAGCCAGAGGAAACAGAGAGCACAAAGGGAGCCAAATCCTGCAGCAGCTGCTGGCCTCGTGGTGCTGGAGGGAAGTGGGAGGCCGGCCTGGGCTTGCATCCCCAATGACTATGCCGCCTGAGACACCCTTCCCACTCACGGTGGGAAGATCTTCCCAAGGAAAGCCAGGCAAGGCTGATAGATCAAATTCTACCTGAGACGCAGACCAGGTACACCTGAGCCCACTCACTGGAGTTTAGGGGGAAAGGAAAGGCTGGGCAGAGGCAGAGCAAGACTACAGAACCAGAAAACTCAGAGGACCTTTCTCCCTCCCCCTCTCCTCTGTGGATGAAAGGGGCCACATGCTGACCTGACAAGCGCAGGGAAGGCCAGCATGGCGGTCTTGCAAACTCAGAGACCTAAAGTCACCACAAAGGATGGTGTGGAATTAAACTTGAACTAAAAACAGTTATTGTGGGCAGTTATGTCCTAAGCCGATATCTTCGCTGACAAGGTCAACCTTTACCTTAACTGAGCCTTATCTGTCTTTTTGCATCTAAGATAACATACCCTTTGAAATGTCTGGGTAGCCTGTAACTTCTTTTTCTGGACCCCTTGGGGCACAACCTAATGTCCCAGTAATTCCATAAGGGACGGATGCACAGGTGACCTAGGGTGCCTCAGCCAGTAATCTGACATGTACGCCCCAAGGTACTTAATTAATAATCCACCGAGCGTAAATTACACAGGAGACAAACATGCAATGCACGAATCACACACGGTTTATTTACCAGAGTCCTGGAGGGTTTCAGACCTCGGCAGGCCACCCGGAGATTGGCACTGACAGACACACACGGTTCATGGAGGAAGTTGCAGCTGCAGGTCGGCTTCAGTTGAGGCCTCTTGTGACGGCTCACAGTCCGCGGCTCAGGGTTCAGGGCTCACAGCTCGGGCAGAGCTTGACAGGTGCAGGTGGAGAAAGTGGAGAGCGACTGTCTGTGGAGGAGCCGAACAAGAGTCTCTGATTTTCTCTGGGGCGTGCTCCTTTTATGTGCTCAGATGGGCGTCTTCAGTGTGTCTTATCAGCGGGTCTCAGGAGCCTTGCTATCTGGCCTTACATATGAGGTACAGATCACTTTATCTATTTTCTACATACAGGCCACTCAAGGGTGCTTATCAATTTGGTTACATTACATTCCATACTTTCAGATATCACACTTCAATCCCACACATTAATATTTATTCTATATTGTATTTTATCCTTACTACTATTGCTATAACACCTAATGTGCTGGGCACCAGGACAGACACCACAAATCCCTTCATTGCCATGTTAAGTGTTCCTGCACTCACCTAAGTATGTGTCTATCATTTTCCTTTTTATCCAGTCCCATCGATTTCCCCACTTTCCTTTTTCCCACCTCTCTAGTCTGTCACCAATGAATTTCATGTAACCCACCTATGTCCCTCCTTTGATTCCAATGTATAAATACAAATGTAACCCACCATTCTCCAGAGCATTATCTCAATTTGTTGAAGTTCTGCTTCCCAGCATATGTCCACAGTTTGGCTCAAATAAACTCAAAAAATTCTTTACAGGTTTCAATGGTTTTTACATTAGCACCTCCTGTCTCCCTCCCCACATCCCCCCCCCCCCAGAACCCCCACTCCAGCCCTTCTCTGCTTTCCATGCATCTTATTTACTCTTTTCTCCTTGAGACAGTGTTTGCTTGCTCCTCTGTTTGCACGAGGCTTCAGCATGGCCATCTCTAGATGGTGGCCTCTGTCCCAGTGACCTTCCAACCTTCCAGCTTGGTGACCCTACAGCCAGCTGAATCAGGCTCCCATCCATGACCCAGATCCCCAGCACACAGAGAAACTGAGCCTGCTCTAAGCTGCGGTTCACTCTGCCAGTCACGGTCAGCAGGGGGCGCTGGGCCAGAAGGGAGGGGCATTTGCTATAAAGTCCTGCCACCTCTGGGGCTGAGGTTGGGTAGGATCTGTTAATGTAAAAACATTCAAACCTGTCAAGAATTTTGTGAGTTTATTTGAGCCAAACTGTCAACAATTGTTGACAATTACGTATTTCAATAATGCTCTGGAGAATGGCAGTGTTTCACCTTGTTTTATACATTAAGATCAAAGAAGGAGATCTAAATGGGTTACATGGAATCCATTAGTGATAGATCAGAGAGGTGGGAACAAGCAAAGCAGGAAAGCCCCTAGGCTTGGATAAAAACCAAAATAATAGACAAATACTTCTTTTACTGAGGCGGGTGCAGGATAGTTAACAGTCAACAATTAGCATGATAACAATAACACTGAAGGAATTGGTGGTACCTGTCCCAGTGCATTTGGTTGTGCCCTTAAGGGTCCGTAAAAAGGGGGAGTTACAAGTTACCCTGACATTTCAAATAAATGTTATTGTAGATGCAAAAAGAGAATAGGCTGCCGAAACAAGTTTGGCTCAGTGGATAGAGCGTTGGCCTGCAAACTGAAGAGTCCGGGGTTCAGTTCCAATAGAGGGCATGTGCCTTGGTTGAGGGCATATCTCCAGTGGGGGGTGGGGGGGTTGCAGGAGGCAGCTGATCAATGTTTCTAAGTCTCTATTCCTTTCCCTTCCTCTCTGTAAAAAATCAATGAAAAAAATTTTTTAGAGGTAGGGAGGTATGGGGAGAGAGAGAGAGAGAGAGAGAGAGAGAGAGAGAGAGAGAGAGAGAGAGAGAGAGAAAGAAAGAAAATAGGCTCAGTTAAGGTAAAGGTTGACCTTGTCAGGAAAGATACGGGCCTAGGACATGCTACCCACACCCTAATTGCTTTTAGTTAAAATTTTCATTTCAGACCATCTTTTATGATTACTTTAGGTCTCTGAGTTTGCAAGACCGCCATGCAGGCCTCCCCTGAGCTTGTCAGGTCAGCATGCGGCCCCTTTCGTCCACTGGTCTTTAAGTCGTGCCGGGGAGGAGGGAGGAAATGATTGGCATCTTCAGGACCCCTCCAGGCCTTATCTTTGGAAACAGAAATGCATTCCCTCTGCTAGCTGAGCTGCCCTCCTCCCTGAAGAGGCCAACTTGAGCCCTTGTTTTCCTCTGTGGCATCTTCTGTCCCTCCATTCTGTGACTGACATTCTCCTCTTTCCTATGTTAATATATTCAACCAAGTCACATTCAAATGTTGCTGGTCTGGGAAGCATTCTGCCTATTGCTAGTGACTTTGCATATTTTGCAGTTTAGCTCTCAGAGGAAAAGAATGACTGCCTGGTTCTTAAGGGAAAAGCACCTCGCTGTGGGCCCAAGTTCTGACGAATGTAACAATCAGCAATAATAATAACAGCAGCAGCAACGGGGCTCAGGATTATAGATTTCAGAAGACAAGGAGATGGATTCCTCCCTAGAACTGCCAGAAGGAACATGGCCCAGCCAGCCCCTTCCTCATAGCTCAGCGAGAGCCATGTAGAACTTCTAACTTGCAGAACCACCAGTAAGAAGTATATAGATTTTTGCCACCAAGGCTGCAACCTTCATTTCATCTGTAGCATTAACTTCCCTTCTCCATGTAACTCCATCCTTATAATACTTCCATGTGATAGAGAAGGGAAACGATGGCATAGATCATGAAAAGGGGGCTCACCAAGTTGGAATGATTTATTCAAGGTCCCGTACCAGCCCCACATTTATAGGAGCAGCTGACCTGAAGCTCAGGCCTGTGCCCATGTATCCCACCCCTGACCCTAAACTGCTGGGAATGCCTCCAATGGGATCTTCCTGCCCTTCAAGGCTCAGCTCAGACACCAGCTCCTGAACAAAACCTCCCCTGGCACTTAACTACTCCTTGTCCATGATTCACCAGCAATCCATTCATCCTTGGACAAGCTCTGGTGGCTGAGCATACGACTGGGATAGAGCAGCCCTGGCTCTGCCCACGGGAGCTGGAGTGCAGTTGGAGAGGGGACTGTAGGAGTATTACAAAGAAATACACTGTGCCCACCAATACATGAGTAGTACTTGGCCTTGGTGGTGGCTGTGAGGTTGGGGAAATGCTCACAAAACCTTGCAGAGGTAGAACCAGCAGAACTTGATGACTACCTGGACAAGAGGCATAAGGAACAGGAATGCCAGGTGATTGTCAGGGTCACGCTCAACCAATTGGGTGGAAGGTCATGCCATTAATAAAACATGGAGGATACTGTCACAGAAATGGGTTAGGGTGGACGGGGTTCGGAGAACAATGTTGAGTTCGTGGAGGCAGCCAGTGGGTTGTTGGACTGTGTACAGGAGAGGGCTGCCCTCAACAGACTGACAGAGAGGTGATTGTTAGAACAACAGAAGGGGGAAAAAATGGATTGGAAAGAGCCTGGAGTGTGAGAAAAAAAAGGGGGTTAGGACAGATCCCAAGTAATTCCAACTTCTAACTGGGTAGAAAAACAAGCTGGGTGAGAGTCACGCTCAGTGAATGTTCCAGAAACAATGGAGGCCACCAAGAGGCCAGGGGAGCCTGGGCCAATGTGGCTCATAGTTTGAGCATTGACCTATGAACCAGGATGTCACTGTTCGATTCACAGTCAAGGCATATGCCCGGGTTGCGGGCTCAATCTCCAGTGAGGCAGAAGGCTTTGGGTGTGTAGGAGGCAGCAGATCCATGATTCGCCCTCATCATTGATGCTTCTATCTCTCTCCTCATCTCCCTTTCTCTCTGAAATCAATAAAAAAATATTTTTAGAAAAAGAGGCCAGGGGAAAAGGACCAAAAAGTATACAGTAAGACAATTTGTCTGTCTGCTGTATTTATAGACACACATTTTCTTACTGTGTCTATTTTGCTATGGACTGGAATATTTGATAAAGGTGTTCTGATGCCTTTATTCCCAGCAATTAGCTCAGATGCCTGGCGCAGAGCAAAGTCTTGATAGCTGCTATTGAATGAATGAATGAATGAATGAATACGGCATAGGCAGTCAGATATTACACTTGCTTTCGGATGGGGCAGGCGATGTACTGCGACTCTTCAGTAACTTACACTAGATGGGCAGGGATGTCCCAGGGGCCTTTGAAAGGACACGCACTCTTCCCGCTGTCCTTGATGTGAATGAGTCCAGGCTGGCTTGTCCGTCTCTCATCACAAGCACGTCGGCATCCACCATCAGAAGAGGGACGCGGGTACTTGAAAACAATGTTATTTACATGCTTTCAGTATTCAAATTGTATTTGCATGATGAAATCTGATTACCTCCAAAGCCAAGGCCCTCTGCAGTGCAATCCTTTCCTGAGTTGTCCATTAGTGGGGTTTTCTTCTATTTCTGAAGTACAAGGGCAGCCCTGGGTATCAGTGGACACAGCCAGAAGTCAGTGCTGGCCCTCGCTGGCTGAAATGGAGACAGACGGAAAACTCTAAAACCCCCTTGTCTTTGTTTGTTGGCAATGTAAACCACTACCAATACATAATGTGGCGAACGCTGCTCCCAGGGTACATACCACCCGCCAGGGAGAGTAATTAAAATATTTAGCCAAGGACCCTACTATAAGGTTCTCCCTCCTCCCAACTGATGGGCGGAGTTATGACATTATTGGCACCTGTCACAGAGACATCTCCAAGACATTGAGCCATCAATCAGCGCCTGCCAAAGTGTCCTGGAGCCCACCCCTTCCTGTTCTGCCCTGGGTCCAACCCTCTCCTGTTCCTCCCCTTAAAAAGACCCCCAGACCAGCCACGTGCTGCTGATCCTCCATGTCCAGGTGGCAGCCCGGCTGGGTCCATCTCCCCTCCCAACTCCTTCAATTCTGACTTCTCTACCTCCATAATGAGTCCCGCTCATTACTGGGAAATAAACTTTCTTTAAAACTCCTTGGTGATCAGTTTTCTGCACCTCAAACCTTACACCTACTGTGTCAGAGGCCCTGCTGGGCCACTGGTAAAACTTAGCTAATGGATGAAGGGGAGGGGAGGTCGAGGTAAAGGAGCCTGTAGCTGGAGCAGAAGAGAGGGGTGGCAAGGGGTGGGGGCAGGGGGCTTTGGGTAGTGGGCATTTGCCAGTCAGCCGGAAGTATTTTCGCATTTTAATAATTGCAGAGTGTGTACATACCTCTGTGTACTTGCTGACTCTCAGCTCTGGGCAGCAGCCTAGGGCAGACCAGCAAGGCTTTCTGGGTTCTGCCTGTGTCACAGATACAGAGGCCGAGGCTTAATGAGGGAGGTTTGGATAAAGGCCCAGGAGCCAGTGGCAGGAGAACCCAAGTCTCTTTATTTCCCAACCCAACGCCTCGTTCCATCATCACCCCTCTGTTTCCCCTAGAACTGCTTTGAGACATAGACACTTGTCACTAATGAGTGTAGTAAAGCTGAATTTGTTCGGCAATGTTACTATTGCAACAAGAGTCATATGGTTAAAAAGAGAGGCCGTCCTCCGTGAAAAATCCATGGTTTTTATTTATGTTTATTTATTCATTTATTTTATTAATTTCTTTATTGATTAAGGTATCACATATTTGTCCTCAACCCCCCATTCCAATTCCCCACCCCACCCCCACTCATGCCCCCACCCCCCTATTGTCCTTGACCACTGGTTAGGCTCATATGTGTGCACATAAGTCCTTTGGTTGATCTCTCCTATTTATGTTTATTTTTTAATGACGCATCCTAGCAGAGGCAGTTTCAAAGTTCTCTTGGCAGAAAAATTCTGGAGTTATCTCCTTGGCGGGCCCCATTCAGGAGTTCTGCTGCCTCTTTCATGACAATTGGGACTTTCCTCACACTGAATAGCTAGGTAATTAACTACATGCTCCTATAAACCGGAGACAATGAAAGCTAAGAACACTCACCTCATAAGATGTAGTTTTCACGTTTGGCGACAATGCTTTGAAAACACAGCACAGCATGACTCCTGTGGGTGAGGCCCCTGCTAGTTCTGTTTTAGTTAATTGGCTCAGTGAGATGGTCCTCACTGCCCCTGAATTCCTGCTCCGTCAGCCAGCAGGCTGGGACACGTTCAAAAGCAATGCAAAGGATTTGTTCGAGAATGTAATCAGCTGCATTGGAGTCCCACCACCATGTGTTCCTGACCTCATTTCCCTGAAACGTGGAGGCAGGAGTGGGCTGGAGGGTCGTCAGGAAGAGAAGTGCTGTGTCTGGCTAACTGCTGTGGTCTGGTCTGGGTGCATTGGAATGGAAGCACTGGGCAGCACTGGCACCGGCTCTGAGGGTAGGGCTGGGTGTGCCAAGCGCAGTGTTTGCGAGATGCAGTTCCAGGAATCTGGAAGGAGGCTGTAAAGGGTGAGTGTCTGCTGGATGGGGAGGATTTTCCTGGACTCCCCACCTAAGAGATGGGAAAGCAGATCCAAGGCCTCTCTAGCCATGGTCCCTCCCCTATCGCCTCGGTAGAGTTTTGCATGGTCTGGCTTTTCTGACAGTGCCACTCCTTTTCACTTAGAATGCTAGTGAGCCCTGTTTCACTGAGACATGTCTCTGACTTATGAGAGCTGGACCAAGTGGGGAGGACCTAGCAGAAGGGGAAGAAGGGGAGGGGGCATGGGGCTTCCCTGGAGCCAGAGCAGGCAGTGGGGTCGACTTCAGGGTAATCCAGGGAGCCAGGTTCAAATGCAAAAGCTGCCTGAGATTGGGAGGTAGGCTTAATGCTAAACCCAGGGAAGTGGAGGTGCGGGAGCTACTGACGAAATGTGTAGGGTCTCCGTTCAAGCTAAGACAGGATAAACATTTGCATTACGACGTTTGTAAATATAAACACACATGAATATGTATGTATGTAGCCAATGTGGGTCATTCTACACTTCCCATTGTTTAGTAAACTGTGCTACTTTATTTAACAGCATTATCATGAACCTCTCCCCATACCCATGTGTGTTTTGTCACTTGGTGGCTGTATAATCTTAAAGTGCATTGTGTTAGTTTCCCATTGTGGGGCCTTTGTCTCATGTTTTCACTGTAATAACACGGGTGGCTGATCACCCCCCTGCCTGACCCCCTGCTGTGATCGCCACCGCATCCTGGGGCTCGTTCTACTGCCTTGAGCCCTGGGCTCTTTAAACATCAATCCCGTGTTGTTCCCGTCATTATAACTTGGTTATGTATTCTCTGCACCTCTAACTGCTGATTCTGCTTTTAAAATTTCTAGGCTGTTTTTGCACATTTTATCTTTTTTTATTCCAGATGAACTTCTTCCTTCGGCTTGGAACATTCCGGCTTTCGGCTTGGAAAGCTCTGAGGGCTCTTACCGGAACTTCTCTGTATTTATGGATTCATTTTTATAGAATTGACCTGTTAGCCACACAGGGACTCCCCACTGGGGGCACAGGCATACTTGCTGAGTCAGGTCTTCCTCTGTGTCCTGAGTCTCTTCCAGCTCCTCCTCCTATGGAAAGCTTGCCCCTAGTCTGTGAGGACCGTTTTGAATATTAATGTTGCTTTTTTTTTTGTCCTTCCTCGATTGTTTCTATTAGAGTGTTTATCTTTTCATATTGGTTCGTGAATTAACTGGCTTCCTCAGGGTCCAAAGAAGCAGTCGTTTTAAACACATAGATCTAATGGGAGGAAAAAAATCGACAGAGAACTCAAAATTCCAGGTAATTATTTTTTTTAAATATATTTTATTGATTTTATACAGAGAGGAAGGGAGAGAGATAGAGAGTTAGAAACATTGATGAGAGAGAGTCATCGATCAGCTGCCTCTTGCACACCCTCCACTGGGGATATGCCCGCAACCAAGGTACATGCCCTTGACCGGAATCGAACCCGGGACCTTTCAGTCCTCAAGCTGACGCTCTATCCATTGAGCCAAACAGGTCCCGGCAAAATTCCAGGTAATTAAATGGCCAAATTAACTGACCTTCCCCCAACAATGGGTTCCATAACCGAGTCTCGCTTCCAGGCACTATCATGTGACTCTGGTCCTCCCTGACACCCCCAGCTCCCCCGCCCTTGCCCCTGTGTGGAGAGTGGGCTCCACACTGCGCTTGCTTCCTGAGGCTTTCTCTTACTTCCCACTTAGGAGGCCCTGGCACTGTAATAGCGAAGTTTCTCTGTGTTCTGCGCCCCTGCGTGTTCTGGGAGAAGTCAGGCTTTGTTTAATCATGAGGATCCCTATGGAGACATCTGCCAGAAACAAATCAGTTTCACTAAAAGAGAGATGTTGACAAGAAGCCAGGAAGGCTGGTCAACAACCTTAATTGCTCTAACCCACATGTGTCAAACACAAGGCCCGCGGGCCAAATCCGTCCCGCCAGGCCTTGCAATGTGGCCCGCACCACGCTGTCATCACTGCACTCCGCTGCGTTTCCATCACAATGACAGTTTATGACTGTTCAGTAAACCATTCGGCCCGCGATTTAGGCTGGATTTTAGATTTTGGCCCCTTCTCTGATTGAGTTCGACACCCCTACGACCTTTAGTTGAGATACTGTTAGCTGAAGCAGCGTCCACATTGTTTGTCCCGTGTAAGTTTCTGTTACTTCCTGCCTAAGGGCTACATGTAAATTTCTGTTTATCTTGCCTAAGATGTTTTCCCCAAAGCCTCAATAAAAGGGATGGCAGGGCCAGAACAGTGAGTAGTTCTCCCACTACAGTTGGACTACCGCCTGGTCCCCCATATCGCCAAATTGAATTTCTTTAAGTCTCTTTTCATTTGTGTGTGGCCCTTCTCCAGAACTCGAACCCTGAATTGGAACCCTTTCCACGCTGGACGTGAAAGAGATTCCTATAGACATCACATCCCACACTAAGTTGTTCTTCGGCCTAAGGATGGGCTGCCCCAAAGCCATCGCTGTGACCACTGTGCAGGACTCACGGTACGGACCTGGGCTTCTCAGGCGAAGAAGCCCCCAGGCCTTCAGGCGGGGGGGAAGGGAGGGGGTACGTGGAGGCCGCAAATGCAGATTCTGTTTGGGCAGGCCCGGGATGGGGCCTGAGACCCTGGGGCCTGCAGGACTGGGCCAGTGCCCACACTCAGTTGTTGGTCCTAGAACAGGGTTTTCTCACCCTCAGCAAAACAGGCATTATCGGCCAGATAACTGTTTGCGGTGGGCGTTGTCCTGTGATTGGAGGGTGTTTGGCACAATCCCTATGCTGTGCCCATGGGTGCCAGTACTGCCTCCACCCAAGTTGTGACAATTAAACAGTCTCCTGAATTTGCCAAATGTCCCCTGGGAACAAACTCACCCCTGGCGTGGAGCATGCGTGCTGAGGTAAGATACAGCCTAGAAAGGGGCTCTCGGTGTGGCAGGCTTTCCAAATGGCCACCCAGTGCCCAGCAGGCAGCCTGCTGGTCCCGAGTAACTTATTAGGCCCCTTCCCACATGAAGCATTTCAACTCTTCACTTCTACATAAATTTCAAATTCTCCCCTCTGTAACAACCTGCCTTGCATGTATGTGGTGCATTACTCAGAGGTTAACCGTCCTTCCAAACGCAAGACCAAAACTCTCATGCACTAGCAGTGTTACGTTTTACCCAGAGAACTGCCAGCTACTTGGGAAAGTGGGCAGAGCATCGTCTGTAATAGAAAACACAAACACTTGCTATTGCCTTCATTCCAATGACTGCAAATTGCATCCCCTGAGGTAGCCCGATGGCAGAACTATTTTGAGGGAACATGGGGAATGCCCTCTGCAACAGACTTTAAATCCCATGATGTTGCAGCCACCTGCTGCACCTCCACAGGCAAGCACCGGGACGCTGCTTCACCTTTCACACAGTGATACCTCCACCTCCCCACGGGGCTGTGAAGACCAACAGGCAAGCTCCTTCCTCACCTTCATTTCCATGCAGTAGCCAGTAGGGTTAAGCAGCCACTTAAATTAAAATTAACTAAAATTAAACCAATTAAAAATTACATGAGCCACATGCGGCGAGTGACTATGTGATAGACAGAGCACATGGGAGACATATTTGTTATCATAGGAAGTTCCAACCACAGCCATGCTCTCCATGATAACGCCTGATACAAATAATGAGTTGTATTATCATTGCCACTGCTGGAGTTTGGAATTCACATACACACACACACACACACACACACACACGCACGCACGCACGCACACACGGAAAGGCACTCACACACAGGTGCCCGCACACCAACATGCACCAGAGTGTGGGTCTCCCTAAGCGTTCATATTTCAGCTGCATCGAAAGTAATTACAAGAGCAATAAAAACATAATTAAACTCTTGAAAATTAGAGACAAGGGTCAAATAATTATGGGTGCACTGTTTTCAACAAATGTCATTGTCTGGGCCACAAATAGATAGCTTCATGAGCTTTCTAATTATAGTAGCAAAAAATAGGAGCGCTATTTTCCTATGAAATTACTAGGTCAGATTAGCCATTTATAAAAAGCAATGTTGTCTTCTGGATTCTGAGGTCCTTTCTTCGTGTCCTGCAAGACTAGGACCACGGAGGAGAGCAGGAGAGAGTGGGGAGCAGCTGGGACACTGCCAGGTTCTGTGACACAAGGAAAGGGTGGTCACGAAGATCATGCAGCCCCCGAGGACTCAGAACAGCAAGGACAATAAAATCCAACATGTGCTATGTTCCAAGACTTACACCAAATGCTTTCTAACCTTACATTGCATTACTCTTGCCAAAATACCAATGAAGTAGGTATCTGGCATGGTTCCAACTTTGCAGATGCAGGGACTAGGCTCAGAGAGGCTGAGTAACTTGCCCGAGGTCACTCAGTAAATGAGTATCAGAGTCAAGGATCAAACTTATATGGTCCTTCCCCCCCCCCCTTTTATTCCTGGGGGATACATTTCAAGACCCCCAGGAGATACTTCTTTTTCTTATATGTATATACCTACAATAAAGTTTAATGTATAAATTAGGCACAGCAAGGGTGAAAACAATAATAAAATAGAACAATTATAATAGTATACTATAATAAAAGTTCTCTTTCAAAATACAGATGGGGCAAAAAGTAGGCTTGTGAATAGATGAAACATAAAGTGTATTCTTGTATTATTATTTATTAACTTGTATTATTTTCCAACTGAGCAACTGTAAACCTACTTTTGCCTCACCCTGTATCTTGTTGTACTGTACTCACCCTTCCTCTTGTGATGATGTGAGATGATAAAATGCCTTTCGTTGTCAAGACTCTCTCCTTCTCCCTTATAGGAAGCACACTGCAGCTTCGCTGTGGCATTTCCCCAATGGCCAGCCTCAGCCTTGCACTTGGAGCCATTACCAAGTGGAATAAGGGTGATTAAGCACAGGCCTGTGGTGCCGTGGCAGCAGATCTAATGACGAAGGCAGCTATTAAGTGACTGATGGGTAGGAGTTGCTACAGCGTGGAGACCCTGGACAGTGGGATGGTTCACATCCCAGGCGGGAAGGAGTGGGACAGCAAAAGATTTCATCACGCTGCTCAGAACAGCTAGCAGTTTGAAACCTATGAACCATTTACTTGTGGAATTTTCCATTTAATAGCTTCAGACCATAGTTGATCACCGGTAACTGAAATCTGGGAAGGTGAAACCACAGGAAAGGAGGGACCACTGCATGCCTCTTGTTGCTTCTGCCCTTGGTCCTCAACAGGGCGGTCCCGAGAGGAGGAAGCAGCACCACCTGCCCCTCCAGGAGGCCTGTTTGGGCTCTGGTGCCAGCCCCTCAGTCCTTCTCAATCCTGGCTCCAACTCTGGAACTGCAAGGGCTCACACAGTGTGCGGACTCCCCAGTCTATGCATCCATGCACTTGACTTTCTCATGCCCCATGGATAGACATGACATAGACCCTGGACAAGGAGCTCTGAGATCCCGGTACTCAGAGTATAGTCTAGGAGCAAGGAGGATGGGCCTCGGCCCCATGGACTCTTCCCCTGTGGGGAGGGGCCCAGCTGGCAGAGGGTCAGGAGAAGGTCCTCCAGCCCTGGCTGGTGGCTCAGGTGCTTGGAGTGTTGTCCTGTACGCCAAAAGGTTGTGGGTTTGATTCCCAGTCAGAGCACATACCTAGGTTTCTGGTTTAATCTCCGATCAGTGTGTGCATGAGAGGCAACCAATCAATGTTTCTCCCTCACATAGATGTTTCTCTCTTTGTCTCCTTTCCCCCCACACACACACCCCCTCTCAAAAATTAAAACATATCCTCGGGTGAGGATTCTTTAGAGAGAGAGAGAAGGTCCTCCAAAGAATCACTGCTCCAAGGGGTGTCCCAGGACCAGCCGCACCAGCCTCCCCTGAGAACTTATAACAAAGGCAAATCATCAGGCCCCACCCAGCCTGAAGCACCACAAGCCTGTGTTTTAACTGCCCTCGGCGGTGCTGCTGCTGCTGAGGCCGGAGAACACTGGTCTGGGACAGCTCTGCACACCCACTGTGCTCCACGGCCAGAGTACCAGCCTCACCTGGGAGTTTGCTAGGGATGCAAATTCTGGACCCACCGCAGCTGGCTGGATCGGAGCTGATGATCTGCGGCAACATCCCCTCCAGGTGGCTCGTGCACAGGGAAGTGGGAGAAGTCTGTTCCAACTCAGGCTCTTCTGATCCCCACTCTCCTGCCCTGTTATCCGTCAGGGCTGGGCTGTCCCCAGAGACAGAAAGTCCTCTCATATCAGTTTAAGGGAGTAAAGGGAACTTGTTAGCTTATGTCATTGAAACATTTGTGAGTAGATCGGGCCCTACTGATTTTAGTGGCAAATTATCGTCCTTGGCCAACCCCACCCACTGCCTGTTTTTATAAATATGTTTTATGGAAACACAGCCACACCTATTCTTTTAGGTGCCTTCACGCTAACTGCAAAGCAGAGTAGAATAGTTGGGACAGAGACATTGGGGCCCACAGAGCTAAACCATTTACAGGGAACGTGTGCTGACCCCGGCTCTCCAGGACCCCTCCTGCCCAAATGTGAAAAGGAGGGGGGAGGTGAGGGACAGCCTGTGGGCTCAATACCGCCTGTGGGCTGTTATGCCTTGTTTATGAATATATCTACACAAAGGTGTGTCTGTACATGCACACACATATATGTATACACACATGCATACACACAGGTATATGTGTATATACATGCCTATTACATGTGATTAAATGTATGCTAAAACATTCCTCTATATTCAGTTAATGAATCTTCCGGGGCAGATTTATGTAGCAATATCTGAAGCACTTTACCACCCCTGGAACGTGAACTCCTAATTAAGGGGTATGGCACAGTAAGAAATAAAAATTTGGTCTTTTCCACAGTTCTTGGCACACAGCTCCTAAAACCCTTGGAATCTCCACAGTGATGAGAGGATCTTTTGTATGCTAATGCGATGGCTGTGGATGCTCCCCCCACCCCCCTTCCCCCAGCTTCAGGATGAGGACTGGTCTCCAGAAAGAGCCTGGCATGGCTCCAGGATTGGAACTCTTAGCCCTGACCTCCCGGGAGGGAGGGAGGGCTGAAAGTTGAGGTGCTGGGAGAGTGGTGCAACTGTGCTCACCCCACCCTTATACCCTGCCCTGTGCTGTTCCTAAATTGTATCCTTTATAACACACTGGTAAATGGGTTTGTTTCTGTGACTTCTGGGATCCACTCTGACTAATTACTGAGCCTGCGGAGGGCGCTGTGGTTCATCAGAAGTAGGGGTGGCTCAAGACTTATGACTGGCATCTAAATTGGGGAGGATTTAGTGGGAATAAACCTTAAGTCTGTGGAATCTGACGCTCACTCCAGCTAATTAGTGTCAGAATTAATTGAATTGTTGGACACCCAGTTGAGCATCTAGAGAGATGGAGGATTGGTGTTGGAAAACACCTCCGAAGGTGCCTCCAATAGGAATTTCAATCTACACTATCCCAGGGTAATTAACTTATGCACATATCTACATCACACTGCTAATTGGGAAGTATTTGAGTAAGTTGTAAGGTGCCACCACAGTAGCTAAGGAACATGTAAGAATGGTCTGAAGTCATTGGCATCGTTCAAGTGCATCCAAGTCACTGACACTCTGGGGATGTAAGGTCTGTCTTCTGCTTGGCCAGAGCTCTTCTGTGGAAGGCGAGAGAGCTGAGTTCACAGCTAAATTGGTGCAGAGTGGATCAGAGAGAACACCAACTGGCAAGCACTAACCCCACCAGCTCAGTCAAGGCAATTCCCGGTGCCAATGGCAATCAGAGATCCTAAGCCACACCCAAACAGAAGCAAGGCAAATAGCAGAAATCGTAAGCAGGGCTTTGAGTTTCCACAGGATTCTAGAATAATCTTACATGAATTTCAGGGAGCAAGGAGACCCAATGCCAATTTAGAACTTTCAAAAGGTCTTTAGATTTGGAGGCTCCCAATCTTACATCATATTAAACAGATTAAAATAAGCCTAATTTATTTTTTAATATATATTATTGATATTTTACAGAGAGGAAAGGAGAAGGCTAGAGAATTAGAAACATCGATGAGAGAGAAACATTTGATCAGCTGCCACTTGAACACCCTCTACTGGGGATGTGCCCACAACCTTGACTGGAATCGAACCTGGGACCTTTCAGTCCGCAGGCCAACGCTCTATCCACTGAGCCAAACCAGTTAGGGCCTAAATTAATTTATAGTGATTAGCATCATTTGTACATAGCAGTGTAGGTGTTGAGTTGTATTTTAGTGGACTCGATGGAGCATTGTTATCCTGGCTTTAATTAATGTTTATCTTTCTGTGTGTGGAGGCGTTTATTGAACTCCAGTTATTTCTGCAGGCCCGGCGAACCTTGCAGGGCCCTGACTCTGGGGAAAGCCATGGGAATCTGTCCCAATGCTGAGTCCACTTGTCTAGACTGGATGGAAAGGGACAGTGTGTGACAATTGCTGGCTTGGCAAATGCAGGCATCGGGCTCCAAGGTTGTGTCCTCTGTAACTTTAGGGGAGAGAGGCAGGACATCATAGTGATTTTACTTCATCCTTATTCTCAGGATGGGGTCTAGGATGCTATAAATGCAGGCTGAAATTGCACAATCCATTTGAGAAGCTCAACAGAGAGGACAGCTGGAGCCAAACAGGCCTACATAGAAATTACTGTGAAGGGACAAGTGAGTGTCAATTAAAACCAGCAATTGGCTTGGCAGAGCTTGATGGGGCCTCAATGTGCTACACAGAAATGTCCCTCCTTTGGAGGTACCATCTCTGCAAGGTCCTCCTCAAAGGCCTTGGTGAGATTCTCAACAAAACAAATGATCTCATTAATTAAATGGGTTAATGCTCTCCCCTGCCATCTTTAATTGCTGCTCTGATGTTTGGGAGAGGCATTTTCAAGCCAAATTGAGCGCTCAGAGCTTCCAGTAATCAGCCCCGCAATAAGGCCTCTGCGCTTTGAAAGTGATTACAAAGATGACTGTGCAAGATGTGCTGCCCACCCTGCCTCCACCTCCTGGGCCCCTGTGTGCCCGCTTCCCAAGTGCCCTGCCTCGTTGCTTTGTCTTTCCACCCAGCTAGAAATCCCAGAAGTCCATCGCCATCTTCTCTCCACAGAAAGTTGTTTTTCATTTGAAAACATGCTCTATTTCTATTTCATTGAATGTGTTATTATTTGAATACCCTTGGTTCTGTTCTAAGTACTGCTTATGTTCTACGCAGTAAACATAATAGGCCAAACCGTGGCTCCATGGGCTGTCTTCCACTTGGTTACAGAAGAAACCTTGTTTGAATGTTGCCTGCTTGTTTTGTATGAGCAACTGTCCCTTTTCTGTCCGTGCTACCCAGCACTTCTCCCTGTCAAACTTGAGGACAGGAACCCTTTCTCATGCCAATGTTTTTCTCCAGTCCCTAAGGCAGTACCTGGCATGTGTAAGTTACACCATTTAGCAATTTTGCTATAACAGAGACACCTCCTGCCCCACCCCATCCCCACACACAAAATACACTGATTTTAAACAGATAATTACTTATTTTTTTCCCATTCTGGAGTCCAGAAATAGAAAGCCCAGGGCTATTGTGGTCTCCACATATTGTCAGTGACCAAGCTCCTTTTGTTTCTGTTCCAGGCTTTACTGCTGTTCCCTCCTCATGCCTCTCCATTGCCCTGGACCGCCACTGCAGCAACAGTCCCATTCACAGCTAGTCATAGGGAGGAAGGTGGGAGGGCAAGCAAGCAAGTGTGCCCACCCTTCAAGGAAGATCTCCTGGAAGTCCCACCACAGGTCTTCTCCGTATCCCATTAGCCTGGACCCTGTCTCAGGGCCATGCCTTTCTTTTAGGGAGTAGTCATTTTAAAATTCAGCAAGCCCTCTCTTAGTGTCATTGATAGGTTCTGCAACTTTAAGCAAACTGACATATAACAACCAATTTTATCAATGGCTACTTGACATAAGAATTAAGTTCATACATCATCTATCTCATCATGTTATAACCAAATAATATTGAATGAAACAACATCATTCAAGGACCTGCTATATGTCCACAAATTTTTGATAAATCTCCTTTGGAGAAGTAGAGGCTAATTTCTCTTCCCCTGAGTAGACACTATAGTTAGATATTTGTTTTCAATAAACAGAATGTGACAGAAATGATGGTGATTTCTGAGACTGGGTCATACATGGGGTTATGGCTTCTCTCCGGGATCATTCATTCTGGAGGAAGTAAGTAGCCCTGTTGTGAGGACCATAAGCAGCCCTAAGGAGTTCACATGTAGAGGAGCTGAGGTCTCCAGCCAACAACCAGCATTGATTTCCCAGGCCCTTTGGAGCTGGAAGCAAACTGCTCTGGACCTACAGCCTCCTGCCTCAGGCAAGCCTTCAGACAGTTTGCTGACATCTAATCAGAACCTCATGAGTGGCCCTGAGTCAGAAACATCCAACTAAACTCCCAAAATTCTGACTCACAGAAACTCTTTAATGTGCTAATCTGCTAAGTGTTGGGATGCTTTGTTACATGGCAATAGACAACAAACACAGAGGGAGACGATTACAGAATGTAGACGTGGGCCAGCACTGTAGCAGAGATGCTAGTGTTCCACCAGAATCTAGTTAATGCTTCTGTGAACACACAGCTAGACTACATTTCTCATCCTTTCTTGCAGTTAGATGCAGCCATGTGACCAGGTGCTGTCCAGTGAAATGTGAAAGGAAGTGATATACATCTAGAAAGGAAATCATTATCCTGACAGCGTAAGTCAATAGAATATTTTTGTGTTGCTGTTGCTTGGTGGCTGAATGAAGCCTGCCCCTGGCACTACATTGCAAGGTTCCAGGGAAGGATGGGCACTTTTATTTCCACTGCAAGCTACCGAAATGCTCTTTTAAGTGGCTTAAACAATAAGGACAAGAAATCCAGGGATGAGTTAGCTCCGGGCCAGTATGATCTGCCTCCCACTCCACTTCTCTGCAGTTCTCTGGGCTTTGCCCATATCACTTCTTCCTTGCCCAAGCTCCTTCTGCAGTCACTGACTGGCCCTCACACATGGCAATTTCAAGAGTAACCAAGGTCTAAGATCTTTCCTCAGCTAAGATCCTGGTCCATAGCTTTGCTTTAGTGAAAGAGAATAACACTGTTCCCTTTGCAAATGGAAGGCCACAATGCCCCACAAAGTGAATGCTGTGTTCATCTCAGACCAACAAGGATCAAAACTCACTGTAGTACTCCTCCACTGATGTGACTCTTCCAGGTGTGTGTCCACTGTGTGGTTAGAATCCATCTTGGCTGACAATCGTGGACTCTGCCAAGAAAGGTGGACATTGCCATGGACAATGGCAAATCACCAAGGGACACTGTTCATGACTTAAGAACAAATATTTTCTTAAGAGCATAAAAAGATTAGCTACAACTTGGGAGAAAATACTTGCAAACTATATATCCAGGAAAATACTTGTATTCACAATATATAAAGAAATCTCAAAACTCAACAATGAGAGGCCAAACTATCCAACTTAGATATGGGCAAAAGACATCAGCAGACACTTCACCAGAGAGGATACATAGATGCCAAATAACCACATGAAAGACACCCAGCATCATTTGTCATGAGGAAATCTATACTAACAAAAGGGTACTATGCAAACGGTTTGGACGCCTTCAGGCATAAAGACCAATCAGAAGGCTGAGTGTGCAGCAGGTGCAGGTGGGCGGGGACTTGCAGCATTGGGAACTTGTGTCATTATGTCAAAATCCATCACCAGGAGGCCTGGAGCATGGCAGAGGCCTCTGCACACCTGCGCTGGGGGTCCCTCGGCTCTGCATGGCAAGGCCTGGGGATCCCATGGCTCCTCTTAGCATGGAGGCGGGACCCCTAGCTCCAGCCTACCACTTTGGGGCAATCCATTGAGGAGCCCTGGATGGGTGGATGGGGCCTACCTCTTTGAGGGGATGGATCATGGGGCTCCCACACTGTGACAGGGCACAGGCCAGGCTGGGGGACCCCCTCCCCAAGTGCACCAATTTTGTGCACCGGGCCACTAGTGTGAAATAAAACACAATGAGATACCACTGCACACCTGTTTGATTAGCTAAAACTGAAAAAGAAGATGATAATACGAAGTGCTGATCCAGATGCAGAGCAATGGGAAGTCTCACCATTGCTGGTGGGAATGCACATGGTATGGCTTCCACCGAAACTGTTAGCATTTATAGTTCATCCCACTCTGAGAGGAAAGAAACGTAAATTAACACAAAAACCTGCACCATAGTATTTCTAGCAGCTCTGTACAGATGCCAAACCCTGGAAACAACACCAATGCTCTTCAACAGGTGAATGGCTAAACAAACTGGTACATCTTCCCAATGGAATGCTATTCAACAATGAAAAGACAAAACTACTAATGCATGCAACAACTCGAATGAATCTTGAAATCATTATGCTCAGTAAATGGAGCCAGTGTCACAAACTTGCATTCTGTCTGATTCCATTTATATGACATACTTGAAAGGGATTGCTGGGTGAAAGAGAATAACTGTCAAATGATAGCACCAGGGGAACCCCTTTTGGTGAAGGGGTTGGTCTTTATCCTGATGCTGGTTTAGGTGAAACAAACCTATCTATGTGTGAAAAGTCACTGGCCTGAACACTAAAAAAGAAGAAAAAAATGGCCAATTTTATCATATAATTTGTTTTTAATGCAGATATACTTGGAAAGGGGTTAGCCTTCTTTGTCAGCCCAGCTTGTGTTGAAGAAAATTGTTTTGAATCAGAAAAACAAACAAACAATTAAGTGGTTCCCTGCCTAAAAATCCTTTGCTCCCTCAAACTTGGAGTAGTTTTCTCTAAAACACACGCATCCTGTGTTGGCGGAGCTTTGGGAGTGACCAGCAGCAGACTAGAGGCCAGAGCTGGACCTGAGACAAAGGGAAATGGCGCCAGAGGGCAGCAAAGGAGCGCAAGGACTGGCCAGCTCCGAAGCCATCTCCCCAAATAGTCTAGAGCAGTGGTTCTCAGCCTTTCTAATGCCACGGCCCTTTCATACAGTTCCTCATGTTGTGGTGACCCCTACCATAAAATTATTTTTGTTGCTACTTTATCACTATAATTTTGCTACTAGAGGGAGGTGACTCCGAAAAGAGGAGGGCAAAAGACTAGATCCTTCTATTACCTGATCCTTCTGTTGACAGTTGTTC